GCATTTGCTCATTTGATTGCAAACCCTATCTCATCATTTTGGTGTGGTCAAATCAATTACTATGATCCATTTAGGTTTATGTTTGTGGTTTCCTTATGTATGATGTGCTTAGAATTGCTTGTAGAAAAGTTTGTGTGCCTAGATCTAGTGCTAGTCTTAATGTACATAATGGGGGTTAGGTTATGCTTAAGAAAGCAATTAAAGCTAAGTTACTTTAGCTAAGTTACTTTAATAGCAACTTTTCGAATTGTAGGATGGCACCGTTCGTTTTCTTTGAAACTTCTGCTGAGGCGGCGGCGAACCGTGAACGCGAATTGATTGAGGAAAAGATGAACTTGTGGATCGAAGCCATTGATGCGTTGAATGCGGAGTGTAGGGCCTTTTCATATAATTATTTCAATAAAGACCATTCCGAAAATTTTATAACAAAAAAGGAGAGGCTGATGAAGAAGCTCAAGACGGCGGAAAAAAATTGTAGGCATGATCTTGCAATGCAAATTACATTGTGTGCGACAAAGGCAGAATATGCTGAGATAGACATGGGCAATCATGGTCAGGTCATTGATTCGTTAGTTCGCCAACCATTCTCGTCGGTTGAGAACCGTGCATCTCGTTGGGCATGGGTCAAAGAAAGAAATGATGTTATTTGTTGCAACCCGGGACCGTACGCCGCATAGTATTGCATGAGGCTATGTAATCTTTGTCATTTGAACTATAATGACATGTACCCTATGCTTGGTTGTCGTTTGAACTACTATGACTTGTACCCTTAACATTTGAACTCATTAAGAACCTGGTGTTGTATGTCATATCAAGTTACCAAGTGTTGTACTCTACTTAATTTATTTTATGTTTTTGTTTATGTCATCTTGAACCCGTATGTTCATGTAGGATGGACAGTCGATCCATGACTATGAACATAGCGTGTGAGAAGATCATGGCGGAGCGACACCATTGCTTGAAGAAGGAATATGAAGCATGGTTGAAGAGTTGTGATGAGGCAAATGCGGCCATGAAGGATTTCAGCAAGTATCACTTTATCGAGGAACCTTCTGATGCTAAGGAGAAAAAAGCATTCCGAAAGCTTGTGAAGGAGAAAGAGAGGATGCTTGATCAGCTGCAAGACCGGGAATATGCTTGCAGACACGCTTTGGCAGTTGAGATTGCATTCACTGCAAGCAAAGAAGAATTCCGTGAGATTGACTTGAGGAAACCCGGGTAGGTCATAGGATGGGCAATCAAACAGGGCGTGTCAGAGAATCCCGTGCGCCGTGCTGCATGGGCTTGGTTCCGTGAAACGAATGGTGTGTTGGGTCATTGGGCAGGATCCACAGACTTTCAACTGAAGCATAATCAAGGGCGTGACGATCAAATTGAACGTCTGATAAGTATGAGGCTTATGTTACCTGTTTAGAACATGTGTCGTCGAGCTTGAGCTATTAGTTTGAACTGATGTCATTCGAACCGGGTCATGTTTTAATTAGTTTGAACATGTGCTATTCGTGGATGTAA